CAAAAAAAAAAAACCTCTCTTGTAACACCTCTAATCTTCGGCACTTATATAATAATGACCAGATTGTGTTGCAAATGCCGTAAAACTCTTACTAAAACTCTATACATCAAAATATATATCTCCCCACCCCCGGCATACAAACACACGCAAAAATCACACACTCACAAACGCACACATATGCGCACAAGTACACACTCCGGCCGACCACAGTGACCGTTGGGGGGCTCTCCTGGCCTAGAGGTTAAGGTGTCCGCCTTTCATTCAATAGGTCAGGAGTACGAATCCGTATTGCGACCGAAATTTTTCTTCTCCAAATGTCTCCTTTCACCTCCTTTCTTGATATCCAGCAATGTTCTGTGGTCTGCTTTCGCCTCCACTTTCTGCCCCCACCCCCTCACCTCCTTTGTCCCCTCCTTTGGGCTCCTGGCTCTTTCTGCAGCCTTTGTATTGCTACTCCCTGGCTCCTTCTTACTGCTGTCTTTCAACCACACCCCGAAAGATCTACACCTAGCCTTTTCGGACAAGGGCGAAAAATCTGGGAGGAGGTCCAGAGTGCAAGTTGCCATTGGTGGTCCAATATCAATCAGTTGGCTTCGGCCGCCACCCGGGCAAAATTGAAAATTCCCTACCAACTGAAAATGTTTATTGTATCCCGCGCTCACATATGTTCTTATGCAGTTGCGAGCGCCGTAAAACTTTTACCTAAAAACAAACAAACAAACAAAAACAAAACAAACAAACCAAAAACAGTTACCGCTTGACTCCGTAAACTGTTACATTCATCTGCTTAGGCTTTCAGTTCCGTCAGTCATCCTGCTTAGTACTGTCATGTACCAATACTTGTAATACCTTCTTCGTGCACGCACACCATCATGCCATGGTACCATGGTACTGTCAGCTTGATACAAACGGATGAGGGTGGTTGATGAGCGCCGAATCTCCTTTAACTCTACTGCTTCTTGTATATTTCTGTCCGCCTGACGTTGTGGTATATTATTATGGTTGTATATTATTATATATTTATATTGTTATGCGGATGGTTGGAGACCCAGTGGCAGAACTGGTAGATCTTACTTCTTTACTTTCCTTTTGCTGTTTCTGTCTGTTTGTCCAACTTTGTCCCAGCACATAATGACCAGTATTGTGTCGATGTCCTTCTCTTTAACTTTACTAAAACAAAATGAAACATTTATTATAACGGTTGCATATGTGCATGAATTTAAATTGAAAAGATTGTTGTACATCAGGCATGGGCAAGCGTGTCCAAATCGCAGGCTGATAAATCAGAACAAAATTGAGTGAAATTGGCTGAAAACTAAGTTCTCAAAAGTACGTCAGACTTAAACGGACGTTGTGGCAAATTATGTAATTCAAAGGCATTTCGTGAGGTAAGGTATTTATTAGACTATAAGGATATATATTTATTATTAATATTGCTTCCTGCTGGATGTGCAAGTATTAACTCTAATATAAAAATGGAAAGTTTTGTTTTGATTAATTATCAACTCACCGCGGGCAACATTCATAATTAATCTGTGGATCGTCTCATCATCATCATCATCATCATCATCATCATCATCATCATCATCATCATCATCATTATCATTTTTGGGCAGCACCGTTATTGTGTCGACGTGCTTCTTGTTACCGAAACTAGTAAACTGGTAGGACCTTCTTCTTTCCCTTTAAATTTCTCCCATTGTCTTTTTGCGTTTTCCCTTTTCCAAGCAATCGTTATCATTTCGATACTCGACTCTTCACTGACTTAGACTAAGTTCTGTGTCATAATACACGTGTCGCAGATGGATGTCAAATCTGATATTGCGCCCTTGATCAGCTTTTATCTGTGTTTCGAAGGGCACGCTATACTGCTATTCCTATCGAGTGAAAGAAGCTGGAAAAAAAGTCTGCAGACTTGAATCTTGTCATTTTGAAAATCTCGTCGCTTTTCTACGGCTTCGGGGAAGAAGAAGAACAGCAACAACCCCTCCCCCAACAAAACAAACAAACAAACAACAATCCCAATAAAACAATAAAAGACAACAGCAAAACAAAACAAAACTATCAGACGTGAAAACCCTTAACTGGTCTCACACGTGGAAATTTGGACGACTT